GATATGTTTTAAGCTCTCTAAATATTAGCTCTGGAGGGACAAAGTTTGAAATATTCCGTGAGCATGTTGGTTACTTGCATTTTGTATTATTACGCCAGGCCCGGCTGTTTGATTTACTGTTGCAAGTTATGCTGCTTGTTATCACGGGTGTCATATTTATCTTTGTCTGGCTTCGCCAGAGATAGCTGTAGCTTTCCTTGTTGAAAGCTATGAGTCTGTCTTAAAGAGACGTTCTTATGCTTCTTGCATCAATTTCATCGAGCTTTTTGTCCTTCCAGTTTGTTCGTTCTGGAACTGCAAATGTAGGTGTTCACGCGCAAGTCTGTGGACTTTTTTGCGTGTAGTTTATGATACTGTGTGGTTTTGTTCAGGCAAAAGCGCTGAATTTAGGAGTTCTTCCTATGATTGTTCATCCAGCTCCACGTTGTGGTTGTCATTGCTTTTATTTGAACTACCAATCACAATCAAGAATTCTCGATCCGCCGAACAAATTCAAAAGTCGAGTTGAAATTTTCCGATGTGGAGTTTGCAATATGACGCGGTGAGTGGCAAAATGCATGAGGCTAGTATCGAATACAAAGTACGCATATCAGTCAAATGCAGAGTACTGGTTCTGGTATCAATACTAATAAAAAGTAGCAGCGTATGATGATTACTTCAGTGTTTAGTATAATTCCTGGCGTCGAGTCGAAAATGAATGGTTCGACTGTAATTTTGACGAAGCGAGTTACAAATGTACAGCGAGGAATGTCAAATACAAACGTTGAGTTCAAAAAACGGAAAGATAAGTGAAAAAACGTCTTCCAATGATGTGAAATCTAANCGGCTTCGCCAGAGATAGCTGTAGCTTTCCTTGTTGAAAGCTATGAGTCTGTCTTAGAGAGACGTTCTTATGCTTCTTGCATCAATTTCATCGAGCTTTATGTCCTTCCAGTTTGTTCGTTCTGGAACTGCAAAAGTAGGTGTTCACGCGCAAGTCTGTGGACCGTTTTGCGTGTTGCTTATGATATTGTTTGGTTTTGTTCAGGCTAAAGCTCTGAATTTAGGAGTTCTTCCTATGATTGTTCATCCAGCTCCACGTTGTGGTTGTCATTGCTTTTATTTGCGATGTTGTCAGGTTTTCTGGAGACTGTTTATAGTCCCTCTTTTGTTAGGAGGCTCGTAGCCTTGTAGATCAGGCAAGACCGGGGGGAATTATTAGATTTTCATATTCCCAGATCATTTGTTTCACATTTTTGTGAGGTGGTGGAATAGGTTTTTTTGATTTTTGCTGATCTTTTAATAATAGATCAATTAATTGTTGTTTTTGATAATTTATTCAATTCTGATTTATTTATCATTACTATATTATAATTAGATTTTTAAAATAATTTTCATTTTTCATACTCATTATTCCCATTGTATAATTGTCGAATTTTCTTTAAGTGTCTTTCAAAAGCTCTGTTTTGCCACTTGGTGAGCCATT